CTCTGCAAGGAGAAGGGTAACCGTATTTTCTATTCCACTGACAGGTTTGTTACTTACTTCTACAATGCTCTTTAAAACGCAGTCTTAATTTCTCTCTGCCTATGCTTCGTAGCCATTAATGAAAAAAATTAGGAAGACTTGGGAAAAAACAGTTATTTATAAATTAGTTTTGCCTTTGACACGTATTTTGGGTCTCATATCCCCTGGTTTTTTCAAGATAACATAGCATGAAAAGTAGGTTTTGTTTATTACAAACTTTGTTGTAACTTGCTTTAAAAACTCTTCTCAAAGGAAAAGAATCTGAATGTTGTTGTAAAATGATCTTCACAAGCCAGATGAACTTTAAAAAAATAATTTATCAAGCACGTTTTCCTAAAAATGTTTAAAACAATAAAAACATGCAGAATATTCAGTAGACAGGCAGAACTGCTTCTTAGCAATACTCATGTCTGGTTTTGCAAAATTAAATCTTAATAGGTATCAGCTGCCCAGGTTCACTGGTGAGTTAAGTAGTTGTATGTATAAATCAGTAAAGAATCTTGAGTGGTGTAGACTAATTTACACCAGTCTGAACATGCAGTGTTCACACCAAACAAGTTTAATACAGGAAGCTGAATAAAGAATGAGGCAGAAAATAATTGCAAGATAAAGCCCTTGTTTTGTAGATCTTTTCAAATATAAGACTAATCCCCAGGAATAAGAACTGTTAGAATTTATGGAGCAAATTAAAAAGTTGGTTGCTACTCTTTGTAAGGATAATGGAAGAGTTATTGTGATTACTGCATGTATGTAAATTTAAGAAAACATTGGGTTCTAATTTTTTAGCAACCCTTCTTACAATTTTTTTTTTCATTTTAGCATGCAATACAAGCCTCTTAATGTCTTGCTTTGTTGCACATAAATTAGTGATAAGGAGTGCTCTTAGTACTACAATTATTGTACCTTAAAAATATTTTTAATTCGTTTAGAGATGTCACAATTGTAGTTTCTTCAGGAGAAAAAAAACACTAATATATCTACAGATAATCAAAAAAACCACCAGAATTTCAAATCTGTTCTATGTTGGCAGTATGTATGTATCAGTTTCTGTGTTTTGCTTTGAAGTGGTGAAGAAAGCATCACACATTCTGGTGTGAAGGGGGAGAGAAAATCCTGACAGAATCTGTAGGCATCTTTCTTGGTTTTGAATTAAACCTTTCCAGTTCATCTTAAAGGAATGATATTTCTTTTGATATCTAGATTTTAGAGGGTAGTATATCACAGTATTTACCAGGAAAAAAAACCACAGCAAATGCTTGTTTATTATTGGCTGTCTGAAATAGCGGTGATTAAATAACAGTAACTCTCAGCACTCTGTAACCTTCTATAGAACTTGTGCAATAAACATTGCACAGTTACCTGTGGTCTAATATTCTGAGGTGTGCTTAGGTAACAGGAGGGAATTAGGTAACTGAACAAAAAGACTCCTATATATTTTTCAAGCTGTGTCATCATGTTTTTATTTCTAACACAAATTAATATCGGATGTTTCTTTTTCAGGGTCTGATTCGCAGTCTCCAGATTCAGGTAAATAAAACACTGTGTTATTTATGCATCAGTGTCATACCATGTAAGCGGATGAATCATAACAGTCTTCCATTTATTTGATTTCGTCACTCCATAGCTCCACACCCTTTAAGGAAAGCACCACTGAAATTATAATAATAATTGCAAGTGGTTAAGACCTCAAATTCAGGTCTCACTTGAAAGCAGTATTTCCTATGAGACAGTACATGTTGTCAGAAAATGAATTGTGTGGGAGAATACAGACTGCTAATTTGGCACCTTCAGCTTCAGTGGCACTTGCTATTTCATTTTTAGTCCCTTACTCAGGATTGCAAGTTCTGCCCACCCCTCTTAGCAGCCTGCTCACATAATGTGTTACTTTTCCCAGCCTCTTACAATATTTTGTCTTCAAATCTGTAACTTGTTGAGGCAGGGTAGTATCTTCCTCTATGTTTGGACAATGTCCTGAGGGCTTTTCAGCTCTGAGGATAGAGACAAAACATGGTTGGTTGGTTGGAAAATCGAGGTGTCATTCAGATTTGGAAACAAGATGCATTATCGGAACAACTAATGGGGTATTGTGGTGAAATATGGTGAAACTGCCGTGACCAACTAACTTTACGTGAGCTGGGTGGGATGTTTTTCAAAATCCGACGCAGATGTGAAGTTCAAGAACCTAATTTGTGAAAGCCCCTGCTTTATACAGGGGCTGAAGCACTAACATCTCAAAAGGACTCCCAAGGTTAAAATCCATAGTCTGTATGAATGTTGTGGGGAGATATCAAACTGCTACCAGCAGTATTGTCAATGCCTGAGTTTTCTAAATTTTAAAGGTAAATATTTTGTAAAGTGGCAGGTTTAGCCCTGTTCTCATAACTTCCATGGTGATAACAGCAGCAATGTCATCTGGGTAGTAGCTAAACTTTTCCACAGTTTGTTTAATAGCTGGGTTGCTACGGTGATAGCAATATAGAGATCTACTAATCACAAAAAAAATGGTTTGATTCTTTTTTCCTCACAAAAGCTTGGAGATCTTACAATGATGGAAGTAGAGAGACACTGAATGGAGATGCTAGCAGTTCATCTCTTACAGCAAAAGGTTTTAGGAGCGTGCGGCCAAATCTACAGGATAAAAAATCACCAACTCAGGTAAAACTGAACACACCAAGTTTCATGCTTTGGCATTTGTGTGTGGGTTATTCTTGGGGGTTAGCATGTATAGATGGGATACCTCTATGGAACGTTGTCCTGATGTCTTCCAAATAGTGCGAATCACCTGTTCATATGGGTCATTACGAACTGTTTTACTGCATAGATAAAGTATACTCCACACAGGATGCATGCCTCCAGGTTAATTACCAGAAATTGCTTTCAGTGAACAAGACAGCCAGCTAAATAAAAGTAGGTCATACACAAATAAAAGCTTTCTAGGAGTGTTCCCAGACTTCAAAGAGTATTTATTAATATTTTACACTCGGAGAAATGCATCAGTCATCAAAATAATATCTGAGGGTAAAGGTTGATTAATTATAAGGTAGACAATGTTTCTGCCTGTTTTGCAGAACAATGTAATTAGAGCACTCTAAAAAAACCCCCAGTTAACTTGGAAACATATTTATCTGTCCAAAAAAGATCAACATACCAACATCAATACTGTCTCTGTTACTATTTTAATTCCAAGGTTTAAGAGGTTCTGTGTGTTTTATATATGTGTGTTACCTGTGAATAATAGCTGGTTGTCTAAGATCATGGAGTACATTTTGGAAATTACTTACATATCTGAACAATTTCCCAGTAATAATTCTTAGTGTAATAATTGTTTTTTTAAAAGAAAATGGACTATTGTGGGCTCCCTTCTGATCGCAGTTCACTCTGAGCAAATGGAACATCTCTCTTTCTAAACACAAGCTGTACAGCCCTGCACAGCAAAAGGTGGTGGGAACCTGACCAATTCAATTGTCCATTGAATTGAGCAATGTTGGGATGAAGCCCCTTAAGTTGCTAGTTCCTTTATTTAAAGATAAAAGTCAAACTGAGTTATATCTCCGGCTAACATTTACTTTCTTTCTGTTTCTTCTTCAATGTTATTTTGCTCTGTGTGGATGCTTTTGGCAAATAAGGCACCTCTGCCACCCCCTAGAAAAGAAAGTTTTCAGAAAGCAAGAGTAACTAATCACGAGAACGAAATTAATCTCCAGGCAGTAACAACTGGTCCAGCTAAGCACCTTCCCACAGATACTGCCTATTACACTAACGAGAAGTCTGTCCAGAAGACAATGTCTTCTCAAATATCTAACACAAGTGTGTCCTATGCACAAAAAATCATTAAACCACTGACCTCGATCTCCAGTGCAGGCACAAGCACAGTCGCGGATATTAGTACTACTCTCCATCAAGGCCAAAGGCAACAGTCTCAAAAACGTAGGGTATCTACCCTGAAATTAACCCGGACACGTGACCCAGCGAGTAGCGTTCATTGTAATACACAGCAACAGCTCAAGCCTGTTGAAGTGCCAGTATTTCCACAAAGGCCTGTCTCACCTGCCTGTAACCCCGTGCCTGAGATACACACAGCATCTCTTTCCATTCAGATAGCTCCCATCCCTGACAATAAAGCAGAGCCTGAAATCCAAGAACATCCACCTAGTATTTCTCCAGACACTTCAAAGATGTCTTCAAAGGATTTGGGACAAAAGTCTACAGTTCTTCCTTCTTCACAGGCTGCAGAATGCCGTGTGGTATATTTAATTTTTCCATCTTTTATTTTAGATCATTCATGAATCACTTAATAACCCTCTGTTTAGTTATACTTACATTATCACAGTTAGACCTTGTGTTTTCTGGGTAAAACTACCTGTCATATGGATCAAAACAGAACTGAACAAAATCTGAAGTTTTTGGAAGGGTATTGGAAAAAAAAACAACAAAACCCAGCTGAGCTGGAAGGTAGACTTCTTTGTTCCTCTGTGAGCATTTTATGGAGTGCAAATGCACAATAGGAAATCAGTGAATTATAGGTGATGCATCTGCTTAAGTGGCTCTTCCTAGAGGGGCCTGCATTAAAGCGTTACGCTGCCATAGGTGCTGGAAGGATCAAGTATGGATAGAAAAGGGTTGGGGTGGGGGGTTCTACAAATGCAGCTCTGCCAGTTTGCTAGGGCCACCAAAAAATACATTTTCTCAGTCGGTGCTTCCTGCAAGGCTAGTCACTGCTGTCCCCTATGTGTCCTGTTGCAATAGCGCTTTTTAAAGAAAATGGGTTGATTAAATCTTTTGTCAACCACCTCTACATGAAGTATCACAAGGCACTGAACTTTTAAGTCCCTCTGTTTCCCCTATACCCTATGCCTACTGAGATGAAAATTCTTTGTTAACTATACTGATCTCATCTATGAGAAAAGGGAGTATCAAGCACACAGTATAGGACCAGAAGAGTCTGAGCAGGGTTAATCACCATTCAGAAAGTTACTGAGTCAAATAAAATAAGCCTGGGAGCAATAAAGCAGCAGCGGATACATACTAGGCAAAAGGAGAGCTCTGAATAAACTTTGTCATTTCTACTCTGCTTTACCTAGTCACGTTACGAATTTTCTATTCAAAAAGTTAATTATTCTAGTATATCTACCAATATACCAGCTTAGTTGAGTTTGAAAGCCCTTCGGTTGGAGGTAGGGATTGCTATAGGTCTAGGCATATCTACTTCAAAGCTTTGTCTGAGCGAGGATCCCATCATGGTGTATTTGTGTTCATCTAGTTCTGCTGAAATCAGTGGGGCTACTCTGAAGTAAATACGACACAATCTTGCAAACTTAAAGTCCATTGACAGCCCTATTGTCAATAGTAGTAACACATCTGCTCTCTCAGTCTGTGGTTCTTTCAGGGCATCACATTCGACCAGGTCTTTACTCTGGAAGCCACAAGTATCTGAATTAGCTACAGGATAGTTTTACAAGTTGTAATATGCCAATTCCCCCCTTCAACTCCCAAGTAAAAATTCTGATCAGAACAAAGCTCTGTGAAATTATATGGCCACAATTTGCAATGCTCCTTTTGAATTTACTCCATTAACAAATGGGAGCACAGAAGAATTGATCACATTTGTCCTCCTTAAGATTAGAGACAAACCGATCATCTTAAACCCTTCTATTAGGCTACATAAAATTTAGAACATTTTGAGAAAAACAAGTTGCTTTAACCTTGAGAAGAACCAGTTTCCTACTTAGTGATTTTTGTCAAGTAGAACGAGTCAGTTCAAGCAAGAGCCACAGTAAATAAATCATGTCAGATACAGTAATGAAGACTGAGCAAGAGCTTTTTCTGGTAGATAGGGTAGGTATGCAGATTATAGGAGGCAGGCTTGCAAGCCTTTTAAATATGGGCATCAAGGGATACGGTCAGACAGTAGAACAGGTGTAGGTGTGGCCAATACAACTTATGCATCTATGTTTTCCTTTCACTTAAAAATAATTGCTCTGCCTGTTAGCAATATGATGCATTATATATGCTCAGATAAATCAAAAGTGTCTCTCAAACAGAAAGTAGTTTTATGACAGCTAACAAGAATTAGGGGAAATACCTTTTTTATGATCCAGAATACTACTCAAACTGTAATCAGAATGACTAAAAAGAATTCTAGCTACTTTTTTTTTTTAGAATTTTAAAAGTCAAAACATATTTTTGCAATTTCTTTTTATTTTAGAATCTGTTTTAGTTTCACTATGAGCTGACAAAAGTCAGAAAAGTCACTGTGACTTGTTTGGCAATTCTACACTTATTTTTCTGCCTTCTCCTTGGTTTCAGTGTGTGGGAAGAATGATCAGAAATTTGGCAAATGGACTTCTTTGAATAAAATGATTAAAATTTCAGTTGATCACAGGGATCATTAAGGAATGTAGCCAACTTCTCAAACTGCATCCATTTATTGATCTCTTCCCTGCAAAATTCAGCTGACATCCTCCTTGATGTTCAACTTCGAAATAAATTCTAAACATTAGTATGAAGAGGTGTATCTGGCATCACAATTGAGTCATGGAGCCAGTGAGTTTTGCTAGATCCATGTTAAAATACATGCCTAAAACTAGAGTACAAACCAGCATGTGAGGTGGTGCAAAATTCTGCAGCAGGTGAGGTCCCAAAGCCAAGATGCCATGGGCTACAGTTAGAAATAAAGGCTACAGCTATATGTCTAAAAATATTTCTTTTCTGACTCAGATCTCTGGTTGAAATCTTGGAACTGTTCTAACTAATGCCAAAAATTATTATCCCCTTTAGCTCTATATCTCATGGTATTTGCAAAGCTCACAATTTCTCTCACATAGACAAATTAACTTTCAGTATATTAAGCATGGTAGTACTTACATTTTTAAAATTGTTTTAGATTCGCAAGCTCTACAGGACTTTGTACACCAGTTAAAATACTTTTATATATGCAGATCATAGGTTGTTATGTTAAGCTATATCCTCTAGGGATGCTCTCAGACTGTAGATTAGGCCCGCCAGCAATGTTCAAAGCTGCCACAGAAACTCTCGAAACCCAAATACATTTAGAAAGGCGCTGTAAAAACAAACTGTCCCTCTGCATCTGGGTTTATGTATGTGGAAGAGAATGAGGTAAGATTGGCTAATCATCACTTCTTAAGAGGTGGTGAATGAGAAATTCTGTGCATGTGTGGGTATATA